TTTTTTTTTTTTTTTTTTAAATTTTGTGCAGGCTGTCACTATACAGCTTGGACTTGCAGTGATCCTCCTGTTTTTAACCTCCCCAGTGGTAGGATCACAGGCATGCCCCACCATTCCTGGAACTCGGTTGCTGGCTCACCTTGTCTGGGAGTGGTGCTGGCATGGCATGTGGTCCCAGGGATCAAATCCCTGTCTGTGTACTTGCCTAAGCAGGCGCTTAGTCCACTGAGCTGTCTTGCCGGCCCTTACATTCTTATTTGGTTAGGACCAGAGCTAATGTGGGTCTACAGCTGTATTTTTCCCTACCACTGAAGTATTGCCCTTTGGAGTGCCCTACTTGTGAGGTTTTCATTCTGGGCAGTGTGTCCCTAACTGTCCCTAGCACCACAGGAACTCCGGTGGTTGCGCCCACTGATTCTTTCATCTGACTCTTTCCCTGACTGGGTGGTGTCATAGCCTGCGTGTGTGGATCTCTGCTCAGCTGGTGACCTGAGTAGACCTGTCCAGCCCACAGAAACTCTGTACTGCCTTCCTTCTGTGTTACTCAGCCCTGCAGACCGAGGGACCCAGGCCTTGCCATACTCCTAGCTCGATCTCAACTCGAAGCCTGCTGGGTTTGCGTGGGTTTCTTTGTCTGTGTTTCCCTTTGATTCTCCTACTGAGGGACCAGTGTATTGTACTGTGTGATATTCAGAGTCCGAAAGCCTTTTTTAAAATACATTTCATACATTTTTAAAACAGCAATTTCAGGTGAAAGGGTAAGTCTGATCCTGGCTATTCTATGTTGTCTAGAGTAGAGCTCAGCTTTTATTTTTGTGATTATTGTACTTGTGTTTTTGTAAAACTATATCTGTTTACTTACGAAGAGTTTCTTTTTTAAATAATTCAAGATGTATTAAAGAAATCAAAGTTACATTTCTTTTTTCTTTTTTTTTTTTTTTTTTGTGGATCCAGGGATTGAACTCAGGCCCTTGTGCTTGCCAGGGAAGTGCTTATTCTACTGAGCCATCTCCCCAGCCCAAAGTTATATTTCTTTAAAAATGCAGTTGGGGGCCTGGCTCTAGCTCAGTTCTTTAAGTAGCTGCTTCCACAAAGCTGTCAGCCTCAGCTTATCCTAGTTCGATCCCCACAACCCTCCAGCCAGCCAAAAGTGCCCTGAAGGCATTCGAGGAGAAAAAAAAAAAAAAAATCCTTATTCCATTTAAAAAAAAAAAAAAAATGCAGTCACTAGGACTGGGGATATAGCTCAGTGGCACAAGGGCCTGCCTGGCAAATGTAAGGTCCTAAGTTTGATTTCCTCTACCAAAGGGGGAAAAAAAATTAGATTTTGAGAAAAATGTTAAGTTTAAATGTTATGGTTTTAACGTCTCTTCATAGAAACATCCAGATTATCAAATTCTTTTAGAAGCATCCAGTTGATCAAGTTCAGTTTTACATACTTTATTTGTTTACTCACGTTTTGTGGTCTTGGAGGCAGGCTGTCACTGTATAGCCCATGCTGGTCTCAAACTCATGATCCTTCCACCTGAGCCTTCTAGAGGTCCCCTGCTTGGCTATCCTGTGTGTTTCAGAGGACATATATAGTTAAAGATCATTGTGAAGTTCATTCCATTCTGCAATTAGAAAACAGCAGTTCAAAGTTATACTTGTACATTCTTTTCAATATAATATAAAATTATTTTTTCTGTAAACATTAAGAATGTTGCTTGTGGCCTAGGGTGATAGTTTAGCAGTCTAAGCACCTACCTGGCAAGCTCAAGGTCCTAAGTTCGATCCCTGATACCCCATGCTGTGCCTGCCCCAAAACGTGGCTTATGCCTATATTCCCAGCACTGGTGAGGCTGAGATAGGAGGATCACTACAAGTCTGAGCTGCATAGTGAGACCTTGTACCAAATAAATAAATTAAAAAAACAAATAACAACAACAAAAGAATGCTGTTTATAAATATGTATAAATTCAGGTATTCAAAGCACAGAAGGAACTTTCTTATTTAGAAATTTGTTCTAATACAGTAGCTACAGGCTATGCAGCCACAACTGACACTGCTCCAGTTTCTTCAGAACAAAGAAGGGGGAACGTGGAGGACCACCTGAGCAGCTGTTCTTGAAAGAAGAAGATAGTCTGCATCTTGGCTGAGCACCAGATCCCCAAACATAGATACTATCTCAGTAGCATAATGCAAATTACTTTCTCTGCATATGGCAGAGGTACATGCAGGCCACCCACCTAGCTCACTCACAGGACTCACCTACTTCCCACAATTCTCAGTCATTTCCTCCTCAAGCCACTCCTCCTCCACTGAATAAAACTGGGTGAGGCCCTGAGGCAGCCTCTTTGTTCCAGAAAGCCATCTTCATGGCTGGACTTAGGGCCCCTTGGTTCCACAATAATTATAAATATGTTTTAGTGTCTTTTTTTTCCGTCATGGGTTGCACTGGGAGTGGTAGATTGGAATTAACTTGGTAGGATTCCAATATCATATCTTTGGGATTACAAATATTAACTTCTTGGACTGAGAGGAGAACCTGGAGAGGACTCCTACAGTATTAATCTCTTTGGTAGCTACAGATGTGTCAGCCCGAAATTTACATAGATTTCCTTTCTGGTCACAAGCAAAATTTTCCAAAACTTTTGGTTTTACATTTTGCTTCTGCTCTTCACTAGGTATCTGTTTACAAGGAGTCAGAAGTACCCATGCCACATCTTGTGTATTAGGCTGACTTGAAATTGTCTCTCCACAGATTAATTAGAAGGCTACATTTATACTCAGCCACAAACAAAATCTTAGGACAATTAAAAATATATAAATTTGTTTCATAATGTTATAAGTATCAGCTGTCCTACAGTTTCCGATAAAGTCCTTATTCTCACTGAAAAAAAAAAAAAAAGGAAATTTGTTAAAATGTCAGTATCTTTTTAATATTCTTTAAATTCTTTTACAGATCAGAAAGCTGATTTTGGATGGCTCCTCACAGTTAATCCAAGAAGGCCTCAAAAGTGGTTTTCTTTATCAATTTTTTGAAAAACGGGACAAGATTGGCAAACCTATGACCTTGCCACTGGATACCTGCAATCTGTCAGGATTATGTGAAATGGCAAAGCATCTGCCTTGCCTGAATGAAATGGAACTTCAGACCCTGCAGCTGAGGGACGAGGACTCGCCTGTTGCAGAGCAGGATTTCTTTTCACGAGTCATTGAAAACAGCTCTAGCTCTTCAAAAATGATGACTTTCATGGGCCAGAAATACTTGCTGCCACCAAAAAGCAGTTTTCTTTTGTCTGATATTTCTTGTATGCAACCACTTCTGAATTGTAAGTAATTATGTTTATTATTAGAAAATTATTTTTTTTTGGTGATCTCAGAAGCTTAAACAATCTGAATTTTAAGTGGGAGCCAACATTTATGATGATAGGATAAATGATTTTCCCAGTGTAATTTTTCTAAAATTCAAAAATTTTTTTTGAATTTTTTTTTTTTTTTTTTTTAGGGAAGGGTCTCCAGGTTGTTCAGGGTCTCACTACTAGATGAGACTCTTAGTGA